TTCTTGACATTTTCCACTGAAGTCTTCTGCAGACATCATACTAGGAGCTTAATGGAAATCCTAAGCCGTTATGCAGACAGAGTGGCTCCTACCATTCTAATCAAACTGTGGAGGGCTACACAGGGGTGTGGCAACTGAATCTGACTATGAGATGAATACAGGCACTCCATTTCTATCCTGTAGGTCCCGAGTCAGGAAAAGAAAGGAAAACTGACCATGCTAGGAGGAATCTGCCTTAATGCCTAGTCTGGTCAGTTTGTAATAGCAACCAAGGGTAATTGGCAGGATCAATAGGTATTTAGCAAAAACTTAAGCAATAAAAACTTTACAGACTACATTTATGAGGAAGTGAATGTATAATGTAACCAGGGCCGGCCTTAGGCCTTTAGGCGCCCTGTGCGAGAAAGCTTTACAGCGCCCCTCAGTGGCCACACCCTTTAGTGGCCACGCCCCCGTAACCACACCCATTTCCCCCAATATATGCACCATTTAAAGACTCCTATTTTGTTAAGCCGCAAAGAAACATATTAAAAAGTGTGAAGAGAGTGAACCTCTCTTCTTCAGGTCAGAAGCAATACATACATATATATAATTTTGTTTATTGAAGTAGTAAACACTTATAACATTTAACTGAAACATAGAGTTGACATTTAGCTGAAACATAGAGTTCACGTTTGATGTAATATTAGCTGGAATGCCTGAATGTTTGTTTAGAATATTAATTTTAGAAAATATAACTATGCTCCTAACTTCACAGGTTTTATTATCAGAGATCGCTGGTATGAAGAAAAGGCCAGTTAGAACTGAAGATGTGTACAAGGCAGAAGAAAAAGTGAAAGAACTTGAACTAAAATCTTGGTGTGCTCTACAGCATAATGATCAGTGAGTACAGATTGCAGTTCATTTTGTAATATATAGACTACAAACATATTAGGCTGCTTCAGTGAGGAGTGTACAGGTGTAAACCTTAAAAAGTAATCTCAGCTTGGTTATTCATAATTCATAAAGGGTGGCACAGGCACTCTTTAGAAGAGTGTTTTGCCACCATATGACAAATGTTGGTGACTACAACAGTACATATCAGAAACATGTACATTAATTTGTCACAAAGCCTTCAATGTGCACAGACACACTAGAAACCATGGACATTGTGCAACTGAACATCATTGCTTGCTAGGATGCTGGTGGTTTTTCCACACAACTTCAGCAGTTGCTAAGATGCAGATAGCAAGGGGCCAGTGCCCTAGCCAGCAATAACACTGTGTGACCAAGTGTCATTGCTGGCCAGGACACTGTGCAGCTGAGTGTCCTTGGTTTCTGTGACACTGCAGACGAGGCCCCCAGAATTCAAGCTTGACAATATGTGGGATCCCCAACACAAGAAGAGCAAGCCCTCTGTGTCGGCTACCTCTGGCTCAGGATACAATAACAGTTCCAGTGTAGCCTGCAGTGTTTCCTCTCAAGGTTCTGACACCAGTAGCACAGAACCTGGTCCACTGCTTGAGTTCTTACAATCCTCTGAGACTTCCTTGGCTTTCTTGGATTTCACTGCAGTTATACAGGATTTTATGGGCTCAAATTGTAATTTTAATTGCTGACTGACTGCAGAGCACATACGCATACCTCAACACCTGCCCTTGCAGAATACTTATCTGCCTTAGCAGTCTCTGAGCCTTCGATTGCAGAACTTCTATCTAATGAACAGACACACAAATCCTTGCAGGATGAGATTGCCCCTGAGAAGTTGCCGGCAGCTGCAAAACCTTCCAGGATGTGGGAGCTCATTTTGGTTTTTATTAATACTGTGCATGCCAACCTAAAGGAGAGCAGCCTGTAAGTTCCACAACTTCTTATACCAGTCAAGGATCCGTAAAAGGCCCTAATACTACAAAAATGGATCAGATGCACGTTTTAATCCCAAGCGTCTTGTTCATTGACCAGGAAACTCAATTGCAATTAAATTTCCATTTAAGAAGGCCTTTATCAAAAAGTGCTCAGTTCCCACAGTTGATCGGTGTCCCGCCTTAACAAAGCACTGACAATTTCTGTAAAGGATGCCCCAGTATTTAAGGATCCCACCAACAAATGATTAGAGACGCTGTATAAAATCTTATTTGCTTATAATTTATTAGAGACACAGGATTTAGATTGCCTTAAACTGCCGCCTACAATAAGATTTGGCCGGTTAGATATAGCCCCTCAGACCAGCAATGCAGCTTTCAGACAGGAGATCAGTACACGATCTCCCTCCAAGCTCCTCTCCGTGTCCGAATGCGGAAGTGATGTATATTATATTATAATATATGTATCATATTAATTTAAAAAAACCCACAAAATTCCCAGTCCCACATACACGCGCGCAAACATGTGTCGGGTGCGAAAACGACGATTGCGCCCATTACGCCACACATGTCGTATATCACTGCAAACGTCAGAGTGAGGGCAATAATTTTATTGCCATTATTCACTGATAACACTAAATTGATGAGCGGTAAATGCTTTTAAAGCGTTGCCTATGGCCAATTTTGGGTATAGTATTTTATTGTAATTTCGCAGGCACACGCAATTTTAAAGCTTGACATGTTTGGTGTCTATTTACCCGACATGACCCCATCTTTTATATTTTACCAAAAATACGGGTAAGAATACATGTTTCATAACTTGTGGAAAACAGTTTTTTTTCCGCAATTTTTGGTTTTGTTTTTCATTATATAGTAAAAAATAAAACCCCCAGTGGTGATTAAATACCACCAAAAGAAAGCTCTATCTGTCCCCAAAAAATGGTATAAAATTATTTTCAGTACAGCGTTGCATGACGGAATAAATATCAGTCAAAGTACCGCATCGCTAAATACTGAAAAATGGCCTGGACAGGAAGAGGGTGTAAACACCTAGTCTTCCAGTGGTTCATTTAATTTTTTTTTCTGAATATATATTTTTTCAATCATCTACATGCTGCTGAGCTGTGTATTTCTATCCAGCTATCTGGATAGGCCTATCCTGTTCAATTTCATGAAGGCTGCTGGATGGAAAGCTTGTTGGTCCTACATGTGCTATTACCAGTATGGGATCCCTAAAAGAGGACCTGATACACTTTTCCAGTACACTCCTTATGCCAACATGTTCTGTATGAGGACTGGAACACTCCTGACTATTTACTCCTTCCAAAGGTTTTGCAGACCAATGTCTGTTTGATCAGGATTTTAAGAAGTGGGCTCTGCCACTGACTGTAGCTATTGAGGATGCTCCCGTGTTTAATTTCTTCATGACTGAGCTTGTTTTTAGTTTCTGTTTGTTAATGACTGACGCACTTTTTACATTTTTGCTGTGTGATTCTTCCACATCAGTAATATACTTTCTTACTAAGTGCACCCACACATATTATATATTTTTTTTTTGGAAGACAGATAGGGCTATATATTTATATAACATGTGTGCCCAACACCTAAATTAGGGAGACTGGGTGGATCTTAAAAAAGAAATATGTTTTTTGGGAGTGTGTATGAGATTTTGGCTGTGTGTGTCTGTAAATGTTTTTGAAGGCCCATTCACACAGTCCAATGCGATTAATGCACGACATCACGCAATCACACCTACTGTGCGTTCTGGTACCCAGCCACAGTTCGATCGCCCGCACCAGAACGTGGCAGTGCAATGCCATGCGTTCCATTGCAGTGCAACTTGGGTCACAACCTAGTGACCAAGGACAATTGTGGGATCTTCTGTCTGTGAACATAAAGAAAGCTTGGTCTGCAGAGCAGAAGTTTAGAAAAACGCTTGCTGTTCGTGCCTTTTGATGGTGAACATCTTTTTGGTGCAATCGTTAGAAAGTCACTCGCACTCCGAAATGTCACTCTACAATGTGACACTATAGTCAATATAGAGATGGACTAAACATCAAGCTGGAGTGCGAGTGACTTTCTAACGATTTCATGTAACTTGCAGAGGCATCTGCCGTCACTACAGCACCCACCTGACCTCAGGGTTTCTCAGGGTTCACAATTTCATGAAGGACATCGCTGGTAGAAAGGGTACTTACTGTATTTGCCCCAGCAAAAGAAGCCTAAGCTTTAACCCCTTAAGGACCATAGTCCATAGTACGTCACTGGCACCGGGCCCGTTTAAACAGACTCCCGGGGGCTAAAGATGCCGGGACTCTGTTTACAGTTGTAAAGCCGACTGTCGGCTTTACAACAGAAGTGATCAGGCGATTCAGCTGTCGCCCTATCGCTTCTCCAAGCCGGTAAATGGGCCGCCCGACACCCCCGCCCATCTCCCCCGCCATGTTTCCCGGGCTCCGTTGCCACTTCTACGGGCCCGGGACCGGCTTCTGGTGTCGGAGGAAGCTGGGGAAGAGATGGGTGGCGAGACCTCTGTTCGCCGATCCCTTCTCCGTACTATGGGACCGGGAGCGATCACATCACTTCCGGTCCCATAGCTGTCACTGCTGGGCTCCTGAAGCCCAGCAATAAGCTATTGAAGTGTGATCTGCACTTCAATAGCTTATTTCAAGTGTAACAGCATCGCCTTAAAGAGTACCTGTCACTGCCAATCTGCTATCACACGGGGCTTGTAAGCTCCCATATGTGATAACAATTAAAGTAAAGTAAAAAAGACAAAAAAAACAAATAAAAAAGACAAAAAAATACAAATAAAAAAGACAGAAAAAATATTAAATTAAATAAATGTAAAAATAATAATTTAAAAAATGTAAAACCCCCAGCCCCTGAAAGCACGCACGTCTTCACGTAAACACGCGTCGGGTGCGTCTACGTATGAAAACGACAATCGCACTACACACATGCACTACACACATACATACATGCACTACGGCATGGGTATCGCCGCGCACGCTGGAGTGAGAGCAATAATTCTAAGGCCAATATTTATGTGTATCTCTAAACTGGTGACCTGTGGGGGCTTTTAAACCATCGTCTATGGACTTTTTGGGGTACTGAATTTTGTCACAGTTTCACGGACGCACCAAATTTTTAACCTGGGCATGTTGGGTATCTATGTACTCGTTGTAACCTCATCTTTTATATTTTATTAAACAATTGTATTTAATTGTGTTTTGGGGCACTTAAGGGCATTTTTCACTACATTTAGAGGTTTGATAATACGTTGCGCTAATATCTTGCAACATAAAACATTTTAAACTCCCAACATTTTATTCTACAGGGTCTTGCCTTTCAGAAAATATATCATGTGATTGGGTTGAAGTAATTTTCAGGCCTAAAATGGGGATTATATCATAGGTACAAAAAACTGAAAAAAAAGCCTCGGTCACTAAGGGGTTAAAGATGGCAAATCTTATTTGTGAAGCCAAAAATACTTCATTTTCTTTTTTCCCAGGTCTCTCATTGAAAGACAATTATAAGGGAGTGACCCAGTTCAACAAAAAAACCTTGGGCTTCTAAATCCTCCAAGCTTTGCATACAAGTCCACTTCATTATGGAGGGACATTTCCATTTTTCAAAGTCTTTTGTTGGCCTTTGTTGACACCTGGCCAGAAAGCATATCTCATGCCAGGGTAAGAAACAAGGTGTCCAGGGGCTACAAGCTAGAGTTCTGCCTTCACTCTGCTTCATGTTGTGCAACCTACTTGTGTCTCCGCACAGGCCAGTAGACCTCCATTCAGCTCTTGCAGAGCTTTTGAACCAAGAAGTTAACAGGGAAAAAGGGTGTTTTTATTTTTTAACTTTTCATTGTCCAAAAACCAAAGAGAGGCATTCACCCCATCATGGATCCTAAAGTCTTAAATGTTTTAATTAGGGATGCACCGATACCGTTTTTTTGGTATCGAGTACAAGTACTGATATTTATATTACGGTACGCGCCGATACCGAGTACAGATTCCGGTAGCATAGAGCCGGTTTCCC